TCAGTTCTTTTTTTGTTATGATTTTGGGAAAGTTTTTGCTCCCAACTCCATCAACCTCCAATTTGGTTAGGATTAACTTAGATAACAACTATGGAGCTTCCATACGGATGATCCGAGGTGGATTGCTCTTTGATCTGTACTGACAAACTGGTAGATTTGCGGTTCATTTCTCTTTTTCTTTGTATATTTTCGATTGGTTAGGTTTGTATATGTATTTTATTTGAACTCATGTATATTTGTCGCCCTTAGCATTATATAAAACTTGATTTACAGATCTTTGTCGATTGTTATCCTTGATTTTTTCTTTTTGCTAGGAATTTGAGTTGCTAAAGAAATATACTGCTTAGATTCTTATCTAGGATGAATATCTAATAGTGTCTGAATTCTAGAGATAGATTTAGTGTTGTTATTCACTTATGGTGTTTGTGATTAATGCCTCTATGTTCTTTGTGTCGCTCTGAGAGATCATCGATGCAAGTGAGCATAATTGACTTCTATATTATTAAGGTTGGTTGAGAGATCGCCGCCGAGGTGATACAACGGGTGTTGTGTTTGATACGTGATAACATTGATGAATATTGTAGGTTTAGTATAACAGTTCGATAGGTTTAAGTCTATGAGAAGTAATATATATGCATGCTTGATAAGTTATTCCTTTTTCCTTTTTATAGATTTATTTTTTGTTGATACTTTTCCTTTCAACTCATTTATCTCCAAACTCATTAACTAGAGATTTGACGAACGGCATTTCAATTCACCAATCACTGTGGACACGATACGATATAACCTAAATATCACTCGGTAAAATAATAACTTACTTTTTTCTTGTTGCTTTACCGCTCTAGCAAAATGGCGTCATTGCCAGGGATTTGTGTTTATTGTTTTGCATTGCGATAGTTTCTTTGTTTTGCAGTTTTGTAATTAATGTATATGTTGTATAAAATGTGTACATAAACTTGTCTATTTTTACTTGTACATGTTTTGTGTTTACTTTCTATACTTGTGCATGTATGTGTTTTTCTTTGTTTTCACGTATTATTGTGAATTATCTCGTTTTCGTAACGTTTGTTCTATGGATGTTAGGACACTTTATTTAGGTTTGCACAGTGTGACAATACCATGACATGACGAGAGGAGATTACTAGATCGTACAATAAAAGTGTCGAGCTTACAACATAAAACAAGCATGTTTTGTTTGTATTCGTTTATGTATATGTTGACTTGTGTTTTAACAAGTTGAAATTAGACCTGTTTTACATTCTCAAATTTTCACTTTTCAACTTGCTAATTCACTTTCACCCGTTTGTTTCGTTATGTCAATTTGTGTTTTTCCACAAGCTTGTCGTGTTTAGATTGAGGAAGGTTGTATGTTGTAAATATTGTATGTAGTTAAGATTGTGTAGGTAATTATAGAGGGTGCTGATGCACTGCTGTTGTTGTCCTATTTTTTTGCAACTGGTGTAGCGCGCTTAGCGCGCTCTATGCCGCTTAGCACGCCCTACTGTGCAGAGCCAATAAATTATTTTTAATTTTTCGCTTGGCTCTCCTTTTTCCCACTTCACCCAAGGCTTTATAGTATAGTAATTAATAGTAATATTTTTAATGCTTTCTTTTGTTGTTTGGACTCAAATTTTGGTTAGATAGCTTGAGATCGCTTTTAGTAATTTTCCGATTTTGAGTGTGTCAACTTGCAGATGTATGGTGATGATAGTTTTTGAAGTTGGTACTCGTCAGGTACTCGTTTATCGCTTTCTATAACATAACATGTTTAGTAAACTTTTCATTTGTACAATTACCATGTCATTCATTCTTTTTGCATTACTTGCTCATGACTTGAATCACTTTAGTTCCCTTTTTACCCATAAATATGGCGAAGCTTTCAATTATTCATATATGCTGGAGGCTATAATTCTTATTTTAACTGGATTTTATTATGTTTAATATTTTGTTTGTGTTGATTGTATGAAAGCATGAACATGATAAAGGCATTTTTTGTTTCATTTTGAGCATAACTACATTGGCCAAATAGAGAATTCACCTTTTGAGTGTGTGATCATTAGTATCCCTTTTTGACCCTTTTTATCGATATCCATGTTGTTTTTGCTAAATGCTTGTCTATGAGTGTTTGGTTCATCTTTTTGTATGGATATTGATTCTTTGTTTTTTTGAACTCTCAACTATGATTTATGGTTTGAATTTTTACCTTGTCTTAGATAGTAGGGAGTATTCACATCAGGATATGGTTGAATTCAAGTTGGGGAGAAAAATGTTTATATGCTTATGTTGTGATTGCTATGAGTTTGAGAAAGAAAGAGAAAAAGAAAGAAAAAGAAAAAAAGTGAAAAAGAAAGAAAGGAAAAAGAAAGAAAAAAAGAGAAAAGTTTTGAAAACCCAAAACAAAAAGAGTATGGAATAATGTTGTGTTAATAAGTGATCTGTGTTGGTTTGAAATTTTGAATAAAGAAGAAGTTTGATTGAAATTGTTTTGTTTGATTCTTTTTGAGTTGATCACTCCCCTAGGTTAAGGCAAGTTTTTGTTTCGATTAGATTTAGGACTTATCCCTTGTTTGTTAACCAAGCCACATTACAACCTTAAAAATCCCTTGTGATTCTTGCCTTTGCATCTTTAATATGAGTTTTTGGATGAATGCATAATTTAGTCTATTGCTTGCAAGATTGTGGATGAGTATTTTTTGTGTCTCACCTTTGTGTGTTCTTCATCTACCGGTGAATTTTTACTAGGTGTGATTCATAATTGAGTTTGTTTTGTTTTAGAATGTTTAGTATGGTTTTTGTACTTAGGATTCGTTTCGTTTACATGTTGTCGTTGTAGGATTGTTGTAAGTATTTACCTTGCGTGTGTGTTTTTGTTTGAAACTTACATTTATTTTCATTTTTCAAACTTGTTAATTCATGATTTTTTGGTTGATTACTTTTGGTTCTTTGAGTTGTTTGGCCTTGTTTAAGGATAAACAAGTTCAAGTTGGGGAGAGTTTGATAAGTGCAAATTGTAGATATTTTTGTATATACTTTTTGTTGCACTTATCGACTTTTTGTTATTAATATCGGTTGAATAAACCCGACTTTTATGTAAATACCTTTAGTTTATATATATTTATGTTTTTGATTCCTTTGTGTAACGTTTGATAGATTTTACTTCTTTTGTAGGTATTTGTTTCATTTTGGAGCATTGAGGAATAAAGTTTTAAAGGCACGACTTCAAATGCGTGTTTTTGGAATAAAAGATAAGTTTTGGGAAGTTCTGTCCAAGAGAGCCCGCTTAGCATGCATAAGGTCTCTAAGTGCGAGTGCACTCAGTGCATTTTGTAGCGCGCTGCTTGCGTTTTTACATTTTGGCAAAAGTATTTTTTTGAAGCCCGTTTAGCACAAATAGCATGCTTAACGTGATTTAAGTCGGTTTAATGTGTAAATATCACACAGTCATCTTAGCGTGGTGAGCCCTCTAAGTGCGGTCTACTGAGATTTGTTTTATAACTTCATTTTCTGTTCATTTTTTGTTATGGTTTTGGGGTAGTTTTTGCTCCCAACTCCATCAATCTCCAATTTTATTAGGATTAACTAAGATAACAACTATGGAGCTTACATATGGATGATCCAGGGTGGATTGCTCTTTGATCAACACTGACAAACCGGTAGATTTGCAGTTCATTTCTCTTTTTCTTTGTGTATTCTCGATTGGTTGGGTTTGTATATGTATTTTCTTTGAACTCATGTATATTTGTCGCCCTTGGCGTTATATAAAACTTGATTTACAAATATTTGTTGATTGTTATCCTTGATTTTTTCTATGTGCTGAGGATTTGAGTTGCTATAGTCATATACTACTTAGATTCTTATCTAGGATGATTATCTAATAGTGTCTTAATTCTAGAGATAGATTTAGCAATGTTATTCACTTAGGGTGTCTGTGATTAATGCCTCTATGTTGTTTGTGTCGTTCTGAGAGATCGTCTACACAAGCAAGCACAATTGAATTTTGTGTTGTTAAGTTTGGTTGAGAGATCACCACAGAGGTGATACAGTGGGTGTTATGTTTGACATGTGATGACATTAATGAATATTATAGGTTTAGTATAACATGTCGATAGGTTTAAGTCTCTGTGAAGTAGTATATATGCATGCTTGATAAGTTATTCCTTTTTCCTTTTTATAGATTTATTTTCTGTTGATACTTTTCCTTTTAACCCATTTATCCCTAAACACATTAACGAGAGATTTGACAAATGGAATTTCAATTCACCAATCTCTGTGGACACAATACGATATAACCTAAATATCACCTGGTAAAATAATAACTTACTTTTTGCTTGCCGCTTTACCGCTCCAGCAATGAGCACGAAAGAAATGAAGATTCCTTTAGATAAGGTTGTTCTACCATAAAAGAAGACAGAGGTTTTAAGGTTGGGCCACATGTCACAACATCGTGTAAAACATATGACACCTCTTCATAATAGTAAAAAGAAACTGCCTCAAAAATGTCACCACTATGGAAAATTTTGACATATACAACCTTATTTCTACGTACTGCATGGATATCCTCAACAAGATAGTGTAAAGTAGCTTAAGATTAGAGGATTTAAGAAAGTCCATGTCAAGAAGAAGTGGAAACACAATGATACTTCAACTGGCTCCATAGCATATACAACGCATAAATTTTTCTCAAGTGAAGGACAATATTTTGTCCCTCCTAGATATAAAGCAAAGGGAAGAATTAATGGCTTAAGGAATTTGACTAATCCTAGTCGAGAGGAGGTGCTACATAGGAAAGACTCAACAGTCAATATGAACAAAATAAACCATCCCTATGGTCAAAGCAGGAATATGAACTTCTACAAATCAAATGGTGGTGATACTACCAAGGTAAATAAGTTCTCATGAAGTAGCCCATATCTGAGGAAAACATTAGGGGTTTACAAGGTTTCAAGATTGATAAAGAGAATACTCATAAAAGGGAAAGACCAACCAAAATGTAAAACAAGATGTCTCAACATCTTACTCAAGATTTTGAATTATCTCACGAGGATCGTGTCATTAAAGGGAAGGCTGATGGTCAGGATGAAGGCCTTCCCAATTTTGAACGACCTTCAGTGGTTCAGAAGCAGTGGTTTAGAAGAAGCTAGAGAAGAATAATGGTTATAGCATGATTCGTCCTATTATGTCTTCTCATAAGTATGGAGGTATGATTAACCAAAAACATGATAGGTTGTTTGGTGAAGTTGAAGTTGGTGTATTGAATTCTAGCTACAAGATGCATGTATCAGGTATTTCTCTCCATAAAATTCCACTTGGTGCTACGTCTGTTCTAGCTACTGGTGGAGATGTAAGAAATCTTTATGACACTCTAATGTCTTCTGGTGAAGATTCCTAGGAAACAAATTTGAGAAATACTGATGGTGATAAGGATGTAGCAGACATCCAGTAGAACATGTTGACAAAGTCTCAAGTGCATAAGGAGAATGAGAATCATGTTCGTGAAGATGTTGAGGTTGATATTGCTATAGTTGATGATGGTGTAGTTAATAACCATGATCATGCATTTGAAGATGTGAAGGCACTGAGTGAAGGTGTGAATGAAAGCACTTGTACTACATATGGCAAAGAGTATAGATTGATTTCAAAGAATACAAAATCTATAAATGATATGATTACCCATAATGAAGAAAGTGTTGAATCAAGAACCTCTATGATATATGCTGATGAAGATGGAAGTTTTTATGATATTATTGTCTATCTTGAAGTTATCAAATGGATTCCAAGACCATCATGTATTTTGAAGTTCATTCCTTATCAGATGGATGTGAAAAATGCATCTCTCAATAAGTACTTGAATATGGAAACTGAAGACCTTCTTTGTGTCATGGAAAAATTAACCAAGTCTCATGATAACAGTTCTAATGAAAAATATCATGTGGAGAAGGTGAATAACCATATTATATGTATCCTTGTGAACAATGGAGTTCATTCTAGGGTTGAACAAGTTACTGGGAAATGATGATCCCTACAAAGATGTGTTGCAAGGAAAGTACTTGAAGGAGATAGTTGCTGAAAGGAAGACCCCAAGAGAAGCCCTGATAATTGAAGAAAGTGATTAAGTGATGAAGAATATCAATTATGTTAGATGGACGTCAAACTCGATGGTGGAGAACTTTGTACAAAAAATAAAGTCTGGGATTGAGATGAGGGAATTTCATCACATTCTTGGTCTTCAAGGAAAGCATACGGAAGATGGTGGTGTTGTCTCTCAAAGGGTGTGCGCTAGGTTTCAAGAAAATTCTAAAGATAGTAGAATCCTGAAGATTGACAATGAGACATGTGAGTATGATATACTTCATGACACCAACTCAATATTGGTTAGATATTTTAATACGGTGGGAGAACTGACTAGGGTGTTTTGCATTTTATCACAATTGTTGCGGATAGCAGGAGTCGCCACAGACTTTTCTTTTATCCAATAAAGGAAATGGTAAAAATAACAGGAAAGAACTTTAAGATATTTTCTTGAGTTCGGGGGGTAGGTTATGAAAAGGGAAGGTGTCATCACCCTTTTCATCCGTAGTTGTCTACGGGCTCTTAGTTGCTAGTTCACTTTGAAATGCTTTATTTGAAATGTGTTTGTTATTGTTTTTTAAAGTATTTTTGAAAAGTGCCTCCGTTTAGGCAAACTTTGTAATGATTCTCGTCTCTATAAGAATGTATACAGAGTGTGAACTTTTGAAAATGTTTCATTTGAAATTGTTGGTGTGTTTGAAATGATGTTGTTTTGAAAATGGTTGTGAGCAAGCAACTACGAGCGTTCTATCTACTAAAAAATCTTAGTTCTTTTCCTCCTCCTTTAGACATTTCTACCTTACCATTGATTGATAAGAAGTCCTATCGTTGGATGTGAAGGGATGGGCGCGGGTCATCGTATAGTCATAGAAACAACTTGTAAGACGCTTTAGCAATTTTTGTAAGGGACTAATATCGTTTTACCGAAGGCAACGTTGAAGGGTCATCGAGGGACTACGATCTTTTCATTCGAGGATCTTTGTTAAAGTGTTCCACATTCGAGGGACATGACTATTTTTCTCAAGGCAACAAGTGTGGGTTACCCTAGAGGTGCGCGTGTATGAGTGTATTGATTTCATGCTTTTTTTTGTCTTGAATTAGGGTTGTCTACTTGTTAATTTTAAATCTTGCCACACACACCCTAATTACTAGCAATAATATTGAAAGCGATAAATTGCGGAATTTTAAAGTCCTACACTATTACATCTTTTTTTTTGGGATGCGGATACAAGTTTATGAATGGGGGGGATGAAAGTAAATAAATCCTAATTATACTATTACAACCATATTGAATATTGAATGACAATAAAAATATAAAGAAATATAAAGATAATGTAAAAAAGGAAAAAAAATAGTTTAAGAAAACTTTTATGTATTGACACATGAGCTTATGCATTGATACGAAAGTTTTATGTATTGACGCATGCATTGGCTCATACTGCTTTGTATTGGCTCATATTGCTTTCTTGCTCTGGAAGTCAAAATTAACTCAGTATGAGTCGATGCATAAGGGTTTGTATCGACTCATATTGCTTTGTATCGACACATATGCTTTTGTATCGACTCATGCTCATTTCTAGCTCATGGAAGTCAAATCAACTCAGTATGAGTCGACACATAAGGGTTTTGTATCGACTCATACTGCTTGGTGTCGACACATACATGTTTTGTGTCGACTCATAACCTGTTTTATACATAATATGTGTCGACTCGTAGTGTTTCGTGTCGACTCATATTGTTATTTTTCTTGTTCTATCATTGTTCTGCTGCATATATGGTTAGCTCTCAACACAAGATTAGTGAAAATGAAGAACAAGTATATGGTTAGCTTAAAGGAAATAATATCTACATTTTATCTTCATAAATGAATCATTAATGATGCTTTATATGAAGAGTTCAAAGTCAAGAAAACTTACCTTGAAGCTGGAATTTATGTTTTGGGTTTGAACTGTTGTGTTGACTGTTTTTGAGCTTAGGAAATGGTAATAGTGATGTTACAGTAGTTATTCTTCTATTTGAACAACTCCTATATGATGTATGTAGAGTTTTTAGATGGCTTGTTTGGACAGAACTTTGCAAAGTGTGAGAGGTTCAAAGATTTGGACTTCAAAACTCAAGAGTGGAGGCTTTGTGGACAGTTATGGCTTTTTGAGAGTATGAGATTTTGAGGGCTTGTCTACACAATAAAACTTCTACCTTTATTTTTCAAATGGCCTATCTATTTATAGAGAAGGTTTGAGACTTGAAACAACTCAGATTTTGAAATCACATGTTATGGCTATCTTGCTTGTTTTTGAAGCAAGCATGAAGAACATGTTTCCAATGTTTGTACCCAGCTATCTAAAGTGGTTGATCACTTTAAACATGTTTGTTCTGACTTGTAGGAGTTGAGTGTGATCAGAACAACATGTTAGAGGCTCAAGAAATTGACTTTGTGAATAAAGTGAACTCTTCAAGAATGAATATGTTACTTTCTTCCAAAAATGGAATGATCAATTGGACAAAGGCTCAAACACTTAAATCATAGTTTAATCAGTTGTGTAATAATTCAATTAAGGAGTGATATACAAGTTTGAGGCCTGCAAATTGAAGATTATGTAGCATGGTTATGGATTTGGTTCTTGTTCATCGCAAAATCTGCCTTGTAATTCAAGAATGACACCCTAACTTCATGGCTTTGATTCTCTTAGCTCAAGTATGATCTCAATGAGTTCTTTGAAATTTTGGAAAGCTTGTAACATCCTCTACAACCTTAATGTTTTCTATTTTTTAAGAATCCAATTGGAACTTTATGAAAATTGTCCAAGAAGTTTGGATAAAAACCTGACCAAACCTGCTGAAAATTTCTCTAAGTGTTTATACAAAAATGTCATGACTTCATGAATTTATAACTCAAAATCCAAGCACTTCTAGGACTTGATCAGCAAAGCAAAGTTGTAGATATCATCAATATATACAACTTTCATGTTGAAAGTTTTCTTTGAATCATCTTGCATCTTGGTGAAAGAATGGTGTGAAGTAATGAAATTATCATGTATAAAAAACACTTAGAAAAATTTTTAAGTCTTGAAAAGTTTGACTTTTAACATTGACTTTTGACTTTCTTGATTTCTTGATGATCAAGCTTTGTATTTTGAATATCTTAACGAATTGTGATCTTTGAAATCAAATTTTGACCGAAAAGTCAAAGTTTGACTTTTGGTGTATCAGTTGACTTTTCATTAGTTGACCAAATTTCAACTATCAATCCACTAATCTTGAGAAACGATTTAAGCCATGGAGTTGGGTCAACATGTTATATTTGAGTCTTTGAGATTATGCTTTAAACCGTTAGGTCATGTATTGGGTCAAAGGTCAATGATCAGTCGTCTGTAGTCAAAACCCTAATTTGTGGTCTCAGTGTTTCGGAGGTGATTTTGTCTGATCAAATCCTTGAGGATCCTTGAGCATTGGAGGTCCTTTGTAAAATGTCTTGATAAAATAGAGGGCAATTTTTGGGGTACAACAGATATTATGATTCATATGGAAGATAGAGCACATACGTGTGAAATATTAATCATTTTAAGTGGATACACCCAATGATGTATGAGATAAGTTATCATGACATAATTCTATGACGATTTGAGTGCCATCAATATTTTGAATAATCATATTCAACATAGTAGAACCAATCACATGTACATTCATCATTATTACATTTTGGAGCTTTCTAAAGCGTTGAATGTAAATTAATTTTAAAAACTAAGGAGGATCCTTGGTATTTTCATTTGTGAGGGTCTATAGCAGTCATTTCTAGGGAGGTGTGCAGGGGATGTTTTTTCCTTTTGGGTGTATGATGCACATGAAACAAAGCAAGCTTTACTTGTTTCAAAACCTATTTCATATGTACATTTTTTACAAGCAAGAACGTTTTGTCCTACCTCTATCTTTCTTTCCCTCTTCATCAAGTTCTAATTGGTCCCAAGAGGAGCCAAAAATCTGGAAATCAAAGGAAGAATTCCTCTACCAAAGGAGTCTCAATCATGAAGGTTGGAGATAACAAGAACAAGAGAGTTAAGTCTACCTCTTCTGAAATTAGTGGGGTTACATTTGTTGGATCATCATGTGGAGCATTTATGACTGAGAAGAAATGTGTGACCGAGAAGAAGTCCTTGAAGAAGAGACCAATTCAAGCTCAGAGGCTGATGATGTCTGGGTCAAATACATGAATTGTTGATGATGGATAAATGAATAAGTCTGAAGGGTGCTGATTCAAGTTTATTTTCTTGTTTTTATATTTGGACATTTTTTATTCTTGATTTGTAAGAACTCTTAATACTG